ACCATTTTCATGTTTCACACAGAGGACGACTAAAGTTGTCCATAATGATGTTACGGAACATACTAGAGGACAGCGATGACCTCCTGTTGGCGTCAAACTCCACGAGATCATAGTTTACGGAATAAAAGTAGAAGATTATAACTAAAAAAGCGTTAGAAAGCTCGAACTTTGAAATTTTAGCTAACTCAATAAAGTTTACAAACCGAACATAATTCAATAAGCATGCCCATGCAATAACTTTTGGTATAGCCGAAAGTTTTCCGAGTTTAAAGAATTTTATTGCGATTGTGTTATGTAACGTACAGTTTTTTCATTCCCTGGTTTCCAAATGACTCACTCACAGTGGGCATTTTTGGCTAGAGCAGGCGGACTTTAGCTTTATGAATGAACTAAAATTTCATGGACCATTTTTGTATAGGCTTTTCATGATGAAAAAGTTTTCTGAGGAGTTTTCCAGAGATCCGGTCTCTGGAAAACCCTTCAGAAAGCTTTCTCAATATTTAAAAATGATGTCGCTGGAAAAAGCATTGTCTAAAACCTATAAGAAACATGTTTCGAGTCGTTCAGGTTAATTTATCTTGAAATTCAAATTTTCAGCACGAAATTGTTTGTGTTAATCTCAAAAACTAAGAAATTTCTAGGATTCAAAATCGAGAGACCGAAACTAGATGAGTTATACACCATTCAATGCAGTTTTTCACGCTGATCCGAATATGGCATTATTTGTACCAAAAAGTGCTTTTGGTGAGAGAGAAAAATGTGAAATACGTGAAAACCCCTTGGGGTTTTGGAAAATCCATAAAACCTCCTTGGAAAATATGCGAGATTTTGCGATTTTAGAATACATAGAGTAGCGTTTGAGGAACATTTTGATGTGCTTGAATGTTATTTTCGCGTGGGGCTAACGAGGGCGATCCGACTATACTGGAGTACTGTTACTACAGACTGACGTGACGGAGTGGCGCTCTTACTTATTGAATTCGGTGCCAAAATAGAAATATTTTGTTATCAATAGATAGCTGAAGACGTGCTGGTTCTGAATATCTGCTTTGAAATCGCGTAACATAATTGAGTAAGCAAAGAATCTTTATTTTGTATGTAGTAACGATATCCGTAATCGGTTTTGTGTACCGTGATTTTTCGTCGTAGGAACCATTTTCAAAATAGACATTTATATACCATTCTGTAACCCTTTGAAAGGGCTACATTTTCCACTATTTGTATTTGAATTAGGAGCAACTTCGATTTTTCACCTAATTCCCGCCTGGATGCTCACTGTGTCACTACAGTAAGAAACAGGGTTTAGAGGTACATAAGTGTGATCCTCATCGTTGATCGTACGTTAGAGTCATTTCGTTAGATCAAATGTTGCTGAATTTGTCACCTAATTTATTTTAGCGCTTTCCGGAGCTCTAGTTCAAGTCACGCCACCTATACAACCACCAGGGTAGAATCAGAGTTAAACCAAGCGGACGATTGTGACTCGTCGCTGGATGTTAAAAGTAAAGAAGTTGGAACAACTATTTCATTCCATAATATAAACTATAGTATAAAGGAACAAACATGTTCCAATTTCTGCACAATACCATTTTTAAAAAAGCAGAATAAACAAATTTTACACGATATAACAGGAATATTCAAACCGGGAATGAACGCTATTTTAGGTAGGTAGTATTGATCGCTTTCTTATATTATTTTTCATTGTTACCAAGATTATCTGTCTTCAATTGAGGACCCTCTGGATGTGGAAAATCATCACTGCTGGATATCCTAGCTGCTCGAAAAGATCCTAATGGTCTAAGTGGGAAGGTTTTCATTAACGGTCAAATACAAACAGTTAATTTCAAATACCGCGTTGGTTATGTTGTGCAAGATGATATTCTAAGTGGGACATTGACAGTGAAAGAAAATTTAGCATTTTCCGCTAATGTGCGATTGCCAACAGATGTGAATGCACAGGAAAAATCAAAAATTGTCACTCGGGTGATACACGAGCTGGGTTTAGAAAAATGTGCGGATACCAGAGTGGGCACATATTTAACTCGGGGTGTATCGGGCGGTGAACGAAAACGGACAAACATTGGAATGGAACTCGTTCTGTCGCCCAGTATTATTTTTCTTGACGAACCAACAACCGGTGAGTTATCAATTGTTGTCTAATCTGTTCTCGAATGACACAATGACTGTGCATATCATCGACATAAAAATCAACGCTCATAGTCGCGAAAAAGTGCTTTGTTTACCTTTAGTACACTTGATAAATCAGAAATTATTTGTATTTTTGGCGTGGAGTACTGCCAAAAATTAAGAAAAAATTTTAAAACTAAAATTACTTGTCCAAAAGAAAATTATTTTTCCAAAAATGTGCTTTCACTTTTGGCTTTACCCTTCACCGCAAATAAATAATGTTCTGCATTATCGAGTATGCTGAATAGAAAAAAGCACTTTTCCGCGACTCAAAATGCACTTATGTTTTTCTTCATAGTGATATATATATCTAGGCTTAGACTCAAGCACGGCTGTTAAAGTGATGAAACTGTTACATGATCTATCTCTCAAAGGTTGTACAATGGTCTTTTCTATTCATCAACCCCGTTATTTGATTTACAAACTGTTTCACAGGATACTACTGTTGTCGATGGGACGATGCATCTATCATGGATCATCATCGATCCTCTTATCTTATTTTTCTTCACTGGGGTTCACCTGTGAAAAACAAGAAAATCCTTGTGATTTTATTTTGGATATCGTGCAAGGTGATCAACTTACAATTATTGATACTGATAAAGAACAAAATCAGAAACTCACACAACAAAAAATAGCTGAGTCATTGAATGATAAATACTTAAAATCACTAATGTGGAAACGTGTTAAAGAAGAGACTGATTTTTATATAGATCAGTCAACCAGTATTCTTTTGAACGAAACATTGCCGAAAAAGTCTCGTATTTCTGAATTGTATTATGTTTCTCAACGTATTATACGCAGTACTACTCGCAAACCATCAACATTTATAGCACAAATTATTGTTGCCATCACGTTTGCTGTTCTATCAGGTCTTGTTTTCTTCAAAATCGATCATTCTATTGATGAAGGTGTTACGAATCGAATAGGAGCCATATTTCTTCTAGTATCTTTTCAAATATTTGTGAATGCAGTGACACTTGAATTATTTGTCAAAGAAAGAGCATTATTCATTCATGTAATTGTACTAACGGTATAGGAAGTGATGCCATTATTATATTTGTTTATTTTTAGGAACATTCAAGTGGTTATTATCATGTATCAACATATATGGTATCAAAACTTATCTGCGATCTGATACCATTAAGAGGACTTCCTGCCATTCTTTTAGCGATTATTGTTTATGTGATGATGGATTTTCAACTTACATCACACAAATTCCTCATCTTTATAGTGTTTATGTTGCTTAGCACACTGTGCGCATGTGCGTTTTGTTTTTGTTTATCGGCAAGTGTAAAGGAGTTTAGTAAGTAGATAGAAAGAAAATATTTACTATTTTACATGCTGATTTTGCATCGTCAGGTGTGGCTAGTGTCATTTGTGGCATGATGTTTTTACGTATGATGATATTTAGTGGTTTTATAGTTGATCTTGACACTGTTACCCCTGTTTTAAGTTGGATTCAATGGTTAGTAGAAGAACAACAATACCCCATCACATTATAGAGATTTTTTAAATCTCTTTTGTCTTTTGTGTCGAAACATAATATTCTGGGTATAAACTTAGTATTCTACGTTTACCTGAGTATTTAGGTTATTATTCAAATAAATGTAGAAGAAGCTGCTGTGATATCTATTATTTTGTGCTCTCTCTACGTTTTTTAGGATCAGCATATTTCGTTATGCAGTCTATGGTCTGACCGTCAATGAATTTACAAATTTAAAGTTATGTTTAACAAATGACACAAATATATGTCCATTTCCTGGTGAAGATGTATTGCTTCAACGACACATTGGGACCAGTTTAGACAGTTGGGAACTGTGGCAAAATCTTGTTGCTCTTGGATCAATGACGATTGTCTATTTTATAATAACATATATACAATTACTCAGAATCAGAAAACACAAATGAAATAGGACATGTTTCAGCCTTTTTTCGTACATACATTTAAAGATAAATTGTTCATTGTTAATTTTCTTAACTTTTTAAACAGAAACACGTTGTATACACGAACTATTATTAGTATATGTTCACAAACATCGTTTACCTTAACTTTCACGAAAGATTAACAGATTTCTGTCATTTCAGCAAAAGGCCTTCCAATTTCTTTGTATCATCACAACAATTGAGACTGCAAAGTTTTGTTTAGTACGCTAGTTCCACAGTTGAGCAAAAAACAGATTCTTGATGTGAGATGCTCTACCATCTCATGCGCACCGTATCAAGCGTTCTTGAACTTGTAATCCAAAATTATCAGTATTACGAACAACAAAATATATATACAATTGCTCCTCCTTTCTATGTGTCACTGACAGTTTCACAATATATACAGTTGATCTGCATAATAAAACTCGATATCATCTTGAAACGCAGCTCGTTCTTTTACGATGAAGCTGAGAGATGCTTTCAAATAAGTGCGAAGATCATTCTCTTTCGAAAATTGTTCTATCGGAAAGACACTAGACAAGTGAAAGAGCAAGATTTTGCTGGGTTCATTTTCTGAGTTTGTGTAAATATTATTCTCTCAATATGGTGTGATAACAAGATATTCGGTCGCCTCTTCAATATTTTCTTTATTTTTCTATATTTTTATATTTTCACTTTATCACAGCATAGTGAGAGAATAATATTACTTTTAGTAAAAATCTATCATTAATAGTTTTAATTTCTATTTTTATTCCGTAAACTATGATCTCGTGGAGTTTGACGCCAACAGGAGGTCATCGCTGTCCTCTAGTATGTTCCGTAACATCATTATGGACAACTTTAGTCGTCCTCTGTGTGAAACATGAAAATGGT